GTAGCAGGGGCAGGAGTGTAATTTATTAGTTTAGCAGGGGCAGCAGTTGTAGTTTAGTAGTCGTAGCAGGGGCAGCAGTTGTAGTTTTATTAGTTTTAGCAGGGGCAGGAGTTGTAGTTTTTTTTAGCAGGGGCAGTAGTTGTTGTTTTATTAGTTTTAGCAGGGGGGCAGCAGTTGAGTTTTATTAGTTTTAGCAGGGGCAGCAGTTGTAGTTTTATTAGTTTTAGCAGGGGCAGTAGTTGTAGTTTTTTTAGCAGGGGCAGTAGTTGTTGTTAGTAGTGGTAGCAGGGGCAGTAGTTGTAGTTTTTTTTAGCAGGGGCAGTAGTGTGTTTTAGTAGTGGTAGCAGGGGCAGGAGTTGTAGTTTAGTAGTGGTAGCAGGGGCAGCAGTTGTAGTTTTTTTTAGCAGGGGCAGTAGTTGTTGTTTTAGTAGTGGTAGCAGGGGCAGCAGTTGTAGTTTTATTAGTTTTAGCAGGGGCAGTAGTTGTAGTTTTTTTTAGCAGGGGCAGCAGTTGTAGTTTTATTAGTTTTAGCAGGGGCAGCAGTTGTAGTTTTTTTACCAGGGGCAGCAGTTGTAGTTTTATTAGTTTTAGCAGGGGCAGCAGTTCTAGTTTTTTTTAGCAGGGGCAGGAGTTGTAGTTTTATTAGTTTTAGCAGGGGCAGTAGTTGTAGTTTTTTTTAGCAGGGGCAGTAGTTGTTGTTTTATTAGTTTTAGCAGGGGCGGGAGTTGTAGTTTTAGTAGTGGTAGCAGGGGCAGGAGTTGTAGTTTTAGTAGTCGTAGCAGGGGCAGGAGTTGTAATTTTATTAGTTTTAGCAGGGGCGGGAGTTGTAGTTTTAGTAGTGGTAGCAGGGGCAGGAGTTGTAGTTTTAGTAGTCGTAGCAGGGGCAGGAGTTGTAGTTTTATTAGTTTTAGCAGGGGCAGCAGTTGTAGTTTTAGTAGTGGTAGCAGGGGCAGCAGTTGTAGTTTTAGTAGTCGTAGCAGGGGCAGCAGTTGTAGTTTTATTAGTTTAGCAGGGGCAGCAGTTGTAGTTTTAGTAGTGGTAGCAGGGGCAGCAGTTGTAGTTTTATTAGTTTTAGCAGGGGCAGCAGTTGTAGTTTTAGTAGTCGTAGCAGGGGCAGCAGTTGTAGTTTTATTAGTTTTAGCAGGGGCAGGAGTTGTAGTTTTTTTTAGCAGGGGCAGTAGTTGTAGTTTTATTAGTTTTAGCAGGGGCAGTAGTTGTAGTTTAGTAGTTTAGCAGGGGCAGTAGTTGTAGTTTTAGTAGTCGTAGCAGGGGCAGCAGTTGTAGTTTTAGTAGTTTTAGCAGGGGCAGTAGTTGTAAATAAATAATAAATCTTTTTAGTGCTGTAACAGGTTTGCAAAGTGGAAAAGCCCAAAGTGAGTTCCCACCTCTCACAGAAAACTCTGCTCTGAACTGACAACAGCTTGTTTGTAGTCCAGCCGCTTCCCTTTCATCCCTGTGACGTCACAGGGATGAAAGCTAAATGCGCCTCATATAACGCTCGCCGAGCGGCGACTCCGACACGCCCTCAGAAACAGCGAGCTGCAGCACACAGCTCTCCTCTCCCTTCCAAACACTAGCTACCCTCCAGGCAGTCAGTGGACAGAAAGTTGTTCCTGTGATGTAGAGACAGAGCTCAGTTAAAACTTTATGGATACAGATTAATAACTCACCGCTCTGAAACTCTCGCTCCAGTCCGTGTTGCCGAGCCGGTCGGCAACACGTACGGCTGAACCCGAGCCGTTTACCGGCTTCTCGCCGACCCGCCCTTCTCTGCTTCTGATTGGCTAGTAGACCTTAACTAGGAACTGAGCATGTGCAACTCCCAACAAAGATCATTTAGAGACAAGATGTATCACTCCATAGCTAAAACGAAGCCTTCAACACAGGCTGAAAAGAGGAGCTGCAGCAACGTGCAGCATGACAAAAATATAACCATGGAAACTTGTTCTGGTACAAACTCTAAATAAGATGAGGAACCTGAAAATTAGCATAATACCACCTCTTTAATAAAATTGTCTGCACTTATTTTAGAACTGCTCATCACAAACTGAAACTCCTCACAGGCAGCTTGTTGCCCAAGGACACTTCGACACTTCGACCCGGGGATTGAACCTGATTATTGAACCTGCTCCACCTCCCGAGCCACAGCCCCAGCAGCAGCAGCACGAACAGATTTCAACATGCTTCATTTCACGAGCGTTGGTTTGGTTTCAGACGTGGACACAACAAAAAGAATACTACATATACATATATATATATACACATATGTATACATACACATAGACTGTATATATTGTGTGTTTTTGTGTACTTTTTTAATGGTATTATAACAGTTACATAAAAACTAGTAAACACATGTATTGGTAATGCACTGACCATGAAATGATCTTTACACACACACACACACACACACACACACACACACACACACACACACACACACACACACACACACACACACACACACGTTAGTCCCTGTGATGCTGATGGTGAGCAGCAGGGGGCAGCGCTCATCAGAAGGTTACAATCATTACCAGCAGGATGAAGGAGATTATATATTTAAAACCTGTCTGTTGCAACAGAATCAACTGGAGATTAATTCATGAATTAAAGTAATAAAAACCTGAATATAAATCAATGAAACACATGTGCTGTTAATTCCTCTGTTCTGACTGACAGGTATTAGAGCGGTCATACCCTAACTGGAAGGTCCGTGGTTCGATACCCGGCGTCTGCATGTCGAAGTGTCCTTGGGCAACGTTACATCGGCGTGTGAATGAGTTAATTTCTGTTTCTGTGGGTGAATGTGATGTAAAGCTCTTTGGAAACAAAAATACATACAAATACAGTCCATTTACACAGGAAGCTTTTATTCTGAAGGTCAAGTGACACGTTTACAGCTGTTTCCTGCAGTCACAGTGATCCACAGAGCCGACAGGTGAGTGTGAGAGGGCTGCTGTCAGTGTTTGTGTTAAAACAACAGAAACCTGATCTCGGAACAATTTGTGTTATCGTCTCTCTTTACGATCCTGCATCGCACTTCCTGATTGACCCTAAGCTCCTGACCCTAAAGCCTGACCCTAAAGCCTGACCCTAAGCTCCTGACCAGCCTCATAAGGCCTCTGAGGATGCTGGGAGAAATTAGCCTCAGTGTGGAGAAATGTGAGCTGAGGCGTCCTCAACACCTGACCTCTGCCCAGACCTGGACCTGAATCCAGATGTTCCAGACAGTTTGTATGAAATGACCAAACAATTACAGGAGGTTTATGATTCTTTGTTTTCAATTCAGAATTTTAATCGGGCCAATCAGAGATAACTTTGGTTATTTCTGGTTTCATGTGCAACCAGGTGACCAGCTCAGACAAACCCCGTCCCCTTCTATCAAACAGGAAGGCCACTGATCAGGTGACGTTGATCCTGACGTGTCAGTAAAATGAGTTCTGGTTCTGTTCAGACTCTCAGATCTGGGTCAGAGACAGATCCTGGTCTGCAAACACAACCTGATCAATAGCCTCCATCTTTCTCTGACGTCTCCATGAAGACGTCGTCCTCCCGGGGTCCAGGCAGAGACGGCGTCACTGATAAACGAGGGATGAATCAAGTCTGTTTGTCCTCCAGATGTTTCAGACTGATGTGATGTAGTTTTCCTGTTGTGCCATAACAATGACTCTCTCTCTCTCTCTCTCTCTCTCAGTGCACATGGTCAGTGGATGTCGAACGCCCGGCGGCCTCTGCATTTATTCATGGGATCCTCTGAAAGTTTAATAGAGCAGCTCCATTAATCTGCGGGCCTGTTTTAAAAGCAAGAATTAAAGATTCATCTGCCCCCCCCACTCCATCCAAAGCTGACACTGAAATATTTATGAGTGCTGAATCACTGGATGAGGAGGAGACTTCACTGCTGCTGTGAGACACAAATATTATATTAATACTTCTCTAAGTCCTGAAAGGTTGCAGCGATGAAAAAGACCTGACATCTCTAAAGAGTCTGGTCATTCACACTGCCGGGGACGCCGGGGATGCCGGGGACGCGGGGGGACATGTCCCCTCCACTTTCTGAAACAGCTTTTGTCCCCACCGCTTTTTAAAATCATAATTTGTTAAAAATGTTGAGAAAAATATCCTGCAACAAGAAATGTTAACTAACTAATGAGTGATGAAACGAAATTTGCACAATAAGAAAAACATGCAATGCAATTTTAATGTAGAATAAATGTCCAAAAAAAGCAGGTTAAGTTAAAAAAAAAACAACAAGCAGCTGATTACTGCATTATATTTTGTGTTATAGCTGAATTTCGTTTTTTCCCTTTAAATAAATAAAAACATTTCCACCATAAATGGATTCAAGTCCAAAGTCCACAAAGACCGAAAAGGTCAAAAATGTGCAAACTGTTTGAAGGCCGCTGAAACGCGGCGGGTCTTCAGGAGGACTCGTCTCTGAAATCAAGCCTTCTGTAAAAATCTTCAGAACGTTGAGAAGTGTAGGCGATCATAGATGAGCAGAGAAATGTCGACGGCGTGTCAAATAAACAGAGCGATGGCAAACAGCCAGCAAGACGAGGACAGACGAGGACAGACGGCTTGACAGGGACCCTGGCGCCATCTTGTCTGTTGTCAGAACCACAAAATGATGCAGAACATTTCTCCAGAATGCAGGAAATGAAGCGTTTAATGCTCAGAGACGCCCCGATCATCTTTAAAATCTCTTCTCTGCTCGTTATGTCTGGTGAGCTCCTCTGAACCTCCGCAACACAAAGTCACGTCCCTAAATACAGAATCAAGCTCCTGCTCACTGATGAAAGATCATAAATGATGCTGGAAACAGAAGTGAAGTCACTTCTGTTCTGTGGAAACACAGACACGTGTGTTGATCACATTTTGTGTTTAATTATGAATTATTATTATTCTGAATCTTGAAAGTATAAGAAGTAAATGTAGTAAAAAGTGCAGTATTTCCCTCTGATGTGCAGTATTAGTATATAGCAGAAAATGGAAATACTCCAGTAAAGTACCTCAAAATGATCTTTAAGTCTGGTGCTTTAGTTCCTTTGCACGTCGCCGTCTGGACTCTTTGTTCCTCTGAATGTTTGGAGGAACTTTCTAAAGCAGGACAGTTTTATAAAAATCACATCATGCAGTTTTTCTTCAGGGAGACGTGTGTGCACTACACGCAGTTCTGTGGTGCTGCAGAGACGTCAAACATCCCACCGTCATCACTTTAATGTCTTTCTCAGTGAAAATGAGAATACAGTCAGATAATCTTCTTTCTGAGCCGTTCAGCACCAGAACAGACGCTTTCCTGTTTCATCAGAGACAAAGCGGCTCCAGAGTCCTGACCTCGACCCAGTCCAACAGGATCCAGACCTGATCACCGGCATCAGAGCTGGACCTCACTGCTGGTTCAGCATCTGAAAGCGCGGCCCAGCAGCGGGTTAATGGACATGAGGGAGGGGAGGCCTGTCCACATACTTTTGGCCATGTAGTGCCGATCCGGACTGGAGAGGGGGGGGGGGGCACCGTGCATCAGAAGCTCCGCCCCCCGGTACGCACCGGGAGCAGCAGAGAGGACTGAGCCGGTAACGGAGTCAAACGCTCCTCCTGCAGCTGCTCTTCACTCCGACTTTCTTCTGCTTTGCGCTTTTCTGTGGCCCGACTCGGCTCGGCTCGGCTCGGTTCGGCTCGGCTCGCAGCGGCGGAGGGAAGAGAGCGAACAGCACAAAGTTTAAGTCCGAGTCCAAAAGGAAGGATCCGGGGAGAGACCCGCTCCTGCTGCGGACCGACGGCGGGGTCTTGAACTTGCAGAGCGGCTCCAGACACAGCGAGAGCAGCGGGGAGGGAAACAAAGCGGTGGAGCTCCGCGGTTCTGCTCGGAGTCCGGCTAGGGTTCTGTTCGGGTTCTGCTCCGGGTCTGGGCTCCTCCCGGTCAGACTTCACAGTTTGTGGGACTCTGAAAGTGTGGAGCAGTTACATAAGAGACACAAAGAGGACAGAGACCCTGAAAGAGAGCTCCGGGAGTTTGAGCGGATCCGGACTCTGCGCGCAAATCCTGGACCGAGTTTAGTTTCCAGCAGCGCGCACGTGGACGTACGGGTCCCGGGTCTGCACACGGACCTGCTGCGGGTCTGACTGAGAGAAAAGATGAAACTTTGGGACCGCTTTTGGACGCGAATCTGGTCGAGCCGTCGCCCTGAAGGTTTTCCCTCCGCACACGTGAACCAGATGGATTATTAGACTCGTTATCGCGCTGCCTGCTGGGAAATAATCAGTTAAAGCCCGAGAATGAAGCTGATAATCGATGAAAATTGAGTATCGATCCGAAGTGATTAACCTGTTCTCCTGCACCCCGGAGCCTCGCGGTCTTTGATGCGTCTGGGTTCTGGTTCTGGTCCCTGCGGGTCCCAGCGCGCTCAGAGCTGAAGACAGGAGACGCGGATGTTCGGCGGGACGCAGCGCAACGCGCCGCCGCACATGGAGCGCTCCGGGCGGCCGCCGCTGCTGCTGCTGCTCGGCCTGCTGCTCCGGCTCTGCTCCGCCGTAACCGACGACCGCCTCATCTCCGACCGGTACGCGGTCTACTGGAACAGCTCCAACCCAGGTAAGACCCGGTCCCGAGCCGGTGTTAGAGAGACTGGAAACGGGGGAGAGCGGGCTCAGCTGGAACCGGACTTTAAGTTCATCACCAGCTTTTTATTTTCAGCTTCAGAGAAAGAAACAGTTATTAGTAAAGCCGAGCTGAAGGTTAAATCCTGAACCTGAGGCCACATCAGGACCAGGCCGCTTCTCTCCACCTTAATCTGAACTTTATCTTAATTTTAATCTAAATGTGAAAAGTTTAAGAGCTTTTCAGAGAAATATCTGCAAATACAATCAAGTTTGATTCAAACTGAAGCAGAAAGTTTGAAGTCTTTGTTAAATTTAGTTTCTGCAGCCAGTAATTAGGAACCTGTCCTCCCGGGTCCTCCCTGGTCCTCCCGGGTCCTCCCGGTCCTGGAGACTTTAAAGTGTCTGATGTGAGATTATAAACCAGATTAATCCAGAGAGTCGGAATCAAAATCTGTTTTATTCATATAAAATAAATCCTTCTGTCTATCAGTGAAAGGGACAAACGTGTGAATCGACGGGCCCTCTGGGGCCCCCTGATGCAGACTCTGGACAAAAAGACAATAAATAAAATACAACACCTATCATATTTAGTGACTTTAGACTTTAAGTTTTTAAATGAGTCAGACATCTGAATTTTTGTATTATTTCTGACAGATTTAATAAAATCTGTAGAATTTCTTAAATAACATTAAATATATTTCTTTAATTACAGAAGTGCTTAATTAGACTTTCAGACTAAATGAAAAATCAGTTCAGAGGCAGAATAAATATAAATTTAAATATCCAGAGATTCTGCAGCTTTAGTCTGAAAATAAAATTTTAGAGGAGATGAAAACAGGAAACTGAAGAGCTGCCGTCTGAAAATATGAATTTATTAAAACCAGATTAATTTTCTGTCCTCTGAGCAGCTGCATCATCAGTCTGTGGTGACACAGCTGACCTCCATCTCTTCTTCTGTGGTTTTTCTATAACATCAGTACTGACTGTACTCCGGCCTGGCAGCAGAGAGTTCACAGCTCATTGTTCTGCCCTCTGATTGGCTGACTACTGTCTGCTGTCTGAACTGTCCAATAGAAACCTGTGGTTTATTGTGAACTCGCAGGTTTTCTGGTTTTTACATCGAAACATACAGTAGTTTCCTGGAGTCTTTCTGTAGTTTCCTGGAGTCTTTCTGTAGTTTCCTGGAGTCTTTCTGTAGTTTCCTGGAGTCTTTCTGTAGTTTCCTGGAGTCTTTCTGTAGTTTCCTGGGGTCTTTCTGTAGTAGTCTTTCTGTAGTTTCCTGGGGTCTTTCTGTAGTTTCCTGGAGTCTTTCTGTAGTTTCCCGGGGTCTTTCTGTAGTTTCCCGGGGTCTTTCTGTAGTTTCCCGGGGTCTTTCTGTAGTTTCCCGGGGTCTTTCTGTAGTTTCCCGGGGTCTTTCTGTAGTTTCCCGGGGTCTTTCTGTAGTTTCCCGGGGTCTTTCTGTAGTAGTCTTTCTGTAGTTTCCCGGAGTCTTTCTGTAGTTTCCTGGGGTCTTTCTGTAGTAGTTTTTCTGTAGTTTCCTGGAGTCTTTCTGTAGTTTCCTGGAGTCTTTCTGTAGTTTCCCGGGGTCTTTCTGTAGTTTCCCAGGGTCTTTCTGTAGTTTCCCGGGGTCTTTCTGTAGTTTCCCGGGGTCTTTCTGTAGTAGTCTTTCTGTAGTTTCCCGGAGTCTTTCTGTAGTTTCCTGGGGTCTTTCTGTAGTAGTTTTTCTGTAGTTTCCTGGAGTCTTTCTGTAGTTTCCTGGAGTCTTTCTGTAGTAGTCTTTCTGTAGTTTCCTGGAGTCTTTCTGTAGTTTCCTGGAGTCTTTCTGTAGTAGTCTTTCTGTAGTTTCCTGGGGTCTTTCTGTAGTAGTCTTTCTGTAGTTTCCTGGAGTCTTTCTGTAGTTTCCCGGGGTCTTTCTGTAGTTTCCCGGGGTCTTTCTGTAGTTTCCCGGGGTCTTTCTGTAGTTTCCCGGGGTCTTTCTGTAGTAGTCTTTCTGTAGTTTCCTGGAGTCTTTCTGTAGTTTCCTGGAGTCTTTCTGTAGTTTCCTGGAGTCTTTCCGTAGTTTCCTGGAGTCTTTCTGTAGTAGTCTTTCTGTAGTTTCCTGGGGTCTTTCTGTAGTCTCCTGGAGTCTTTCTGTAGTTTCCTGGAGTCTTTCTGTAGTAGTCTTTCTGTAGTTTCCTGGGGTCTTTCTGTAGTTTCCTGGGGTCTTTCTGTAGTTTCCTGGGGTCTTTCTGTAGTAGTCTTTCTGTAGTTTCCTGGGGTCTTTCTGTAGTTTCCTGGAGTCTTTCTGTAGTTTCCTGGGGTCTTTCTGTAGTAGTCTTTCTGTAGTTTCCTGGGGTCTTTCTGTAGTTTCCTGGGGTCTTTCTGTAGTAGTCTTTCTGTAGTTTCCTGGGGTCTTTCTGTAGTAGTCTTTCTGTAGTTTCCTGGTATCTTTCTGTAGTTTCCTGGGGTCTTTCTGTAGTTTCCTGGGGTCTTTCTGTAGTTTCCTGGGGTCTTTCTGTAGTTTCCTGGGGTCTTTCTGTAGTTTCCCGGGGTCTTTCTGCAGTACTCCTGTAGTACTCCAGACTGGTTCATCTTGTACAACAGCACATATATAGCTGATGTTTCACATAGAGAAATATCAGGTTTCCCAGAGAGAGCGTCGTATTTCATACTGTGTAACGTCTGAAAGCCACATGTTTGTGAAAGGACTCCGTTTGCAGAGGAAGATAATGAGAAGCAGCCGAAAGCTCCAGAAAGCCACTGAGCCACCTTCGGGTTTGACGTCACGTAGAACAGATGTTTTGATGTGAAATAAGTGATGAACGTGTGTTCAGCACGTTAAATGTGCGTTTTCGTCCCAGCTGAGAGGAAATCGACCAGGCCTCAGCCAAAAAAGTGGGGATTTAGTTCTAAAACAAAACACAGACAGAATCATAAACGGGATGAATCTGATGTTTGAGATCAGAACTGTCGTTACAACAGCGAGGCGCCAAAGGTTTCGCTGCTACAGCCAGAGAAATGATGATATTTAATTATCGTGCAGTCACACAGAGAACGTTTGCCTGAATATTTGTGGAAACTCCGTACGCTGTGTCTGCAGTGCAGCTTCAGTGTTTTTCCTGCCTGACTCTGCCAGCTGCAGTATTCAGGCTCGTACGGCAGATTTCTGCTCACAGAGTTCAACTTTAAACTCAAGTGAAGAATTTCGTAGGGACCTGTACATGTCGTTTTACATTGCAGTATTTATTTATAGACACAATCACCAGGCAGGAGGGTCTGTGTGTGACGGTGCTGAAGGTAAAATCTGCTGCAGCCTTTCAGACAAAACTCAACTGAACGACTTTTTTAAAGGACAGAATAAGAAATCCTCCCTCTGCGCTCAGAGTCTGAGCAGGAAACAGTTTAACCTCATTTCACTTTAATTTTCCTTTGTGTGTGTGTGTGTGCAGCTTCATCCTGCTGTAGACTTACAGTCTGTAACATTCCTGCAAACAGACTTTTTTATTTTGAAATCCGCTCGGTGTCCAGTTTATTAGGAACACCTATCTGAAACTAATCCTGTAATAATCCTGACATTCAGTCTGTTATACTGAGAGGTGTTTCTGTTATTTTGTCCACCCTCACTGACGTGGCGGACAAAATAACAGAAACACCTGTCAGTTAAGAGACGACACCGTCTCCCCAAAACAGCAGCAGCAGCGTGAAACTCTGCATGAGTTAGACTTCACCTCCGTCCTTCCTGAAACAAAGCAGCCGAGTCGCAGGACGTGTTGTTGTTGTTGTTGTTGTTGTTGTTGTTGAAATGCAGTAAATAACAGACCTCCAGACAGACGACCCCTGACATGAAGCCTTCGTCCTGCGTCCTCTCCACTTTTCTCTCTCTGCTTTGATGCTGCAGGACGTTGTTCTGCGTTCAGCGAAGAGAAACTAGTTAAAACAATTTAATCTGTTCACAAACATCGATCGTTGGTCCGACAGCGAAACTCTAGATCCCGTCAAAGTCATCTGAAAGATTTTATCGTTTTACGGGACGCCTGTCGTCATCAATTAGTCTGTCAGGTTTTTTTAATCCATCGATTTTTTGTTTTAAATTCACATCAGAGAAATATTCACATTTTAGAAACTGGAACTCGTTGGTTTTTGCTTTAAATGATTAACTGATTATCAAAATCGTTGCCGATTGATTTTCTTTGGACTAATCAAGTAATCAGTTGATTGTTTTTAGTCACCTGTTATTTTAACTTAATGTGTGAATATTTTTCATCAAAGTAATGTCCTGAATTTGTCCCTGTCGTGATGCCGTAGGTCTTTCTGCTGATGTTGCAGTATTTCTCTGTGTGACTGGACTCCAAATGAAATTTAGAGGAAATGAAGTGTTGCTCTGTGGCGGCAGAGTCCCGAAGCCAAAACACAAAAACCCCAAAAATGTTAACTTCATTAAAGTTTCCTCAAAGCAGAAACCTCCAGAAAAAAGTCCCAGAGCAAGAAAACAAAACACGGGCAGGAGGAGCGCCGGGAGCGCGGCGAGGAGCTCCTGATGGATTCAATAAAAGCAACGTGTGAGTCAGAGAAACGGAAAACATGAGTTCATCCTGAATGAGTCCGCTCAGACGGAGAAACACAACAAGGAGCGCTTCTCTTTGTCCGGCCTGCAGACGCACTTTTACTGAGAGAAGAGGTCAGGATGCTAAAGACCTACTGTAGTCCTACGGGGGCCTGTGAGGGTCAGTGTGACTCTGAGTTTGTGAAATGATTTCAGTCAGCCAGAGGTTTCACATCAGTCATTCAGCCTTTGGCAAACATAAGTATAAAATCAGTAAAGGAGTCAGTGTGGAGCTGATCTGGGGTCAGAGACGCTGGGATCTGATTAATGATTCGCTTCTCCGGTCAGAGTCGGCGCTGACACGCCGGCGGGCAACCACATCTAATAATAATGATAATGATATTATAATAACGGTGATATTTAACGAGGGTCTCCTGAGCATCTGGAGCTCAAACGGTTTCTATCGGA